ACCCGCCACCTTAGGTGTATATGGCTGGTGCCTTAGCCGCTTGAGCCACAGGCGCCAAGCCGAAAAGCAAATCTATTCACCACTTCTTTCAACCTTGTATTTAAAAGACAATATAGAAGGAAAAGAAATATAACTCCCTTTATTTACAGACAATATAAATGAGAATCCAGAAAACCTGGAGGAATCAATGAAAGTTACTCCAACTAATAAACTAGTTAAATTAGCAAAGTCACAAGATCATCATAAAACTAACTCCATTTGTACAAATATTCAAAATAGACAACTGGAAACTGATTAAAAAAAAAAAACTCCTCACAATGGCATAAACATTAAGAACTTAGTGATCTATTTAACAAAATGTGTGTGTAAGATCCAGACACTGAGAACTAAAATTACTGGCAAGAGCAACTGAAAAAAAAAAAACCCTAAATAAATGAAGAGGTATAACATAGAAATGGATTGTAAGACTCCACACTAAGACAGCAATTCCTCAAAAATTATCTATAGATTTGAAGCAATTTCGATCAAAATTTTGACAAAGGACCTACAACAAAGCAAGCTTTAAAAAAGACAAAGTCGCAGTGCCTGTGGCTCAGCTAGCGGGTCGCCGGCCCCATGTACCGATAGTGGCAGGTTCAGACCCGCCCCGGCCAAACTGCAACAAAAAAATAGCCAGGTGTTGAGGAGGGCGCCTATAGTCCCAACTACTTGGGAGGCTGAGCAAGAGAACTGCCTAAGCCCAAGAGCTGGAGGTTGCTGTGAGCTGTGACGGCACAGCTCTCTACCGAGGGTGACAAAGTAAGACTCTGTCTCTTAAAAAAAAGAAAAGACAAAGTCAAAGGCTTTATACTACCTCATTTTAATGCCTACTAGGAAGTTGCAGTACAGCATTAGAAGAAAACAATAAAACAGATAAGTGTCCAGAAATAGACCTAGATTTATATGGTGAATTCATTTTCAACAAAGATGCCTATGTAATTCAATGTGAAAAGGGTGGTTTTGTCAATAAACATTGCTGGAACAACCAGATAGTCAGTGGAGGAAAAGTAGACAGTGACACTCACCTCATACTATAAACAAAAATCAATTCAAACAGATCACAAACCTAAATATAAGAACTAAGATCATACAACTTACAGAAGACGACAGGAAAAAAATCTGGTAACCTTCAGGCAAGTAAAGATTTCTCATGACACAGAAAGCACAAACCATGAAAGAAAAAGGTGATAAATCAGATTTCATCAAAATTTAAAACTTGCTTCAGAAACCACCATAAAGAAAATGAAAGGTAGCTGGGCACAATAGCTCATACATGTAATGTGCAGGTGAAGGCAGGATTTGCTTGAGGCCTGGAGTTTGAGGCCAGCATGGGCAACTCAAGGAGACCTTGTCTCTAAAACAAAAATAAAATGCAAGTTAGCAGAGTATGGCAAGGCATACCTGTAGTCCCAGCTACTCACAAGGCTGAGACAGGAGGATCACTTAAGTCTGAAAGTGTGAGGCTGCAGTGATCATGCCACTGCACTCCAGCCTAGGAGAAGCAACAAAACTCCAGTTCAAAAAGAAAAGGAAAAGACAAGACAACAAGAGAGAAGAAGAGAGGGAGGGAGGGAGGGAGGGGGAAGGGAGAGAAGGGAAGGGAGAAAGGGGAAGGGAGGAGGGAGGAGAGGAGGGAGGGAGGACAGGAGAGGAGGGAAGGGGAGAAGAGGAGGGAAAAGGAAAGGGAAAAAAGGGAAGGAGAGAAAGGGAAGAACGGAAAGGGAAGAACGGAAAAAGAAGAAGGGAAAGGAAAGGAAAAAGAAAAGAAATAAAATAGAAAAGGAGAAGCAAGCCACAGATTAGGAGAAAGTATTTTCAAACATACCTAACAAAGAATTTTTAAGCAAAATATATAATGAACTCTTACAACTCAGTAAGACAAGCAATCCAACTTTTTTAAATAAGTAAAAGAGTTGAACAGATATTTCACAAATGGCAATAGCCAAATGGATGAAAAATACATGAAAAGATGCTCAGCAACACCAGTCAATAAGGAAATACAAATTAAATACACTCTGATACACCACAAACAACCATCTAGAATGGCTAAAATCAAAGACTGACCATTAACAAGTGATGGCAAGAATGTGGGATCACTGGGACTCACACATTGCTAGGGAGAATGCAAAATGGTACAACCACATAGCCCGGCATTGTGGCGGGCACCTGTAGCCCCAGCTACTCAGGAGGCTGAGGCAAGAAAATCGCCTGAGCCCAGGAGTATGAAGTTGTATCGGCCATGACACCACGGCACTCTACTGAGGGTGACAAAGTGAGACTTTGTCTCACACACACAAAAAAAAGGCACAACCACTGTGGCAAAGATTGGCAGCTTCTTGGACAGGTAACTATACACATGCTATGCAGCCTAGACTTCCCACCACTGAGATTCTGTTCAAGAGAAATGATAGTACCACTTGTACACAAATGCTCAGCTTTATAACAACCCCAAATTGGAAACAACTTCAATGTCCATCAACATTTGCATGAATAAAAATGCAAATTGTTTTATATCTCTACAATCTAATATACCTCAGGAAGGGAAAAAAAAAACCAACATTGATGAATCCCAAAACCAACACCTTAAGTCTAAGAAGGCACACAAAACAGAGTACTCACTGCATGATTCCTATTATACAATATTCTAGAAAACACAAAACTATGGGGCAAACACAAAACCATACAATATTCTAGAAAACACAAAACTTCTGGGGTTGCAGATGGAACCATGAATTGACTGCAAATGCCTATAACCAAACCTTTTAGTGCAATGGAAACATTAACTTGATTGCCATGGTAAACAACTTTATACATAAAACTCACTCAGCTGTACATTGTACTTACAACAGGTAAATTTTATGGGGTCTGAATTACACCTAATGAAGCTATTAAAAAAGGTAGTTTCAGGCGAGGCACAGTGGCTCATACTCTTGGGAGGCTGAGGCAGGTGGATCCCATGAGCCAGGAGTTTAAGACCAGACTCAGCAAAAGTGAGACCCTGTCTCTGCTAAAAATAGAAAAACTAGTTGAGCATTGTGGCAGGTGCCTATAGTCCCAGCTACATAGGAGTCTGAGGCAAGAGGATGGCTTAAGCCCAAGAGTTTGAGGTTGCCATGAGCTATGACACTACAGCACTCTACCCAGGGCACAGAGTGAGTTTCCATCTCAAAGAAAATAAAATAAAATAGTTCAACTAATCTATTTTCTTTTCCTTTGTGATTTAAATCCTTATAGGTGGTTTTCATCATTGTGCTCATTAAATATGCATAGTATTTTTAAAAGGCTACATGGTTAAGCCTTAGAAGAAGAAATCATTGTAATTTTATTCTTTTAGATTTTGTTTCTCATATGTTTTAACTCAGCTATTTGCTCTTCTTTATAATTTGTCCTAAATTTCAGTCTCACTTTCAGTATTTTTCCTTCTCCAAACAAGCCATTTGTTCATCCCCTCCATCCCACTCCTCCACCATATACTAGAATTCTAGTTCTACTGCCGAAGTTCTCTACCTTTCCCGTGTCTTCACATACTTCCCTGAAGGTTAACTAGACTACAGAGTCATCTAATTAAGGAGCCTTTCCCTAGGATACCGCTTGATCTCTACATCCCACATCCTTAAGAGTCTAGTGCTGATGCTGCTATCTTCATCACTCCTTAAAGCCATCTCTGGCCCATTATTCCTCTACCCCTCTGATAAAAACGCTTATTCATCTGAGCCCAAGTCAATAATTATCACCTTCTACCATCTATTTTCCAACTATCTCCTCATTTCTCCTCTTTCTCTTCCTAAAGACTGTACACCCATTATCAATCCTCCTTACCACCTCAAAGCTTGCTATTGAACAGCTTTACTTTCCCATTCTTTGATCTCGTTATCACCAGGAAAGTTCTCTTTCATTCTTATTTGTTTAGTGTGAATTTCCCTGCTAGAGCTCCAGAAAGATGGGGACCAGAGATGTCTTGTTCACTGCTGAATCACCAGCACACAACACAGTGCATATGCTAGTTAAGTAAGGTGTCTTTTTTACCACCACTAACTGAAGAAGAAGAAAAAAAAAAGAAAGAAAGGAACTCCTATCAGGCCTATGCTGCTTACTACAAGAGAACCAATAGGACAATGAAGTGTCTGAAAATCATATACAAAAAACGATCAAACAAAGGATGTTTTACCCAGAGAAATTATTTGCTAGATGATAGAAATTAACCTATCTTAAAATATAAAAAGGTCACCCACATAGAAAAGATAAGGCTGACAATTCTAAAACCTGAGATGAAGAATTGGCTCTGCTACTAAAGAGTGGCTTTACTTAATATTCTTGAGCCTCTGGTATTTCCTCAATCTAAATTTAAGGAGTTAGACCTCCTAGGTTCTAAATATTCTATTTCATTCATATCTAATAATCTCCCTAAATGAAGACAGTAGGTATGTTATCAACCTGAGGATCTGCCACTATTATAATCTGAACCTAGTTATGTTATAAAAAAATATTTTAAGAAAATACTAAAAGATCTAGCAAACTATGACTGTGGGGGCAGCCAATGTTTGTGTAAAGTTTTACTGAAATAAAGCCACACCATTCTTTTAGGTATTATCTACAGCAGCTTTCCTGCTCCAATAGCAGAGTTTGATGGTTGTGAAAGAGACCATATGGCCTACAAAGCCTAAAATATTATCTGGCATTTTAAGAAAAAGTTTGCTGCCCCTAGACTAAATGATCTATAAGGTCCATTTTACATTCTTATGCACTGGCAATGAGAAGAGTTCCAGTGAAATGCTAAAATGAAGAAGAGGAATAAAATAGAAAAAAAAGAATGAGGAGAGAGATAAAAAGTCAAACATGACTTCCCTTTACCCAGTGATTATAATAGCTTCTCTCTGTAAGCTAGTAGATGGCTTGCCATCCAATCATTAACACTTTATGTTCAAAGAATACACAAGATAAAACAGAGATGTAGCACTTACCTGCCTTCCTTAACTTTTTCTGCATTCCCTCGACATATGTAGTTTTCAATGTAGCCTTCACTGCAGTTGATTTTCGACCAGTCTGGGTCACACACATCCAAGAAATGAGGCCGCAGTCTGCCTATTGAATACTTTGCGATGTCAGTCAGAGACTGGCTAGCAGCTGCACCAAATAAAAATGTTCCAATGGCTTTGTAAATAGTGGCTATGTAGTTATTCCTGACAAAGGAATTTGAGTGCAAGAGGTTAAAGTAAACAGACAGAGTTTCTCCAAGAATCATCTGAAAAAGAAACAGTAAAATAATATGTTAAACTAGCAAGCAGGCAACACTTTAAACAAAACATAGAAAATAGTAAATCACAACAAGATTTTGTTGTAAACACAGCCTCGCCCCACCCCCCTTTTTTTTTTTACAAATGGAGAGTTGACTTAGGATATATAATTCTAAACCTTACAAAAAATGTGTCAGATCCACTATGGACATTGCTTACAAAGCCATGGCTCAGCCAAAATTATTTCATAGCCTACTTGAAATGAGACCTTATTTCTTTTCTTGCACTTAAATAAACTGAGGTTCAATAAGCAGACAGTGATGTATCCTGGAGGACAAAAAATTGTGGCTTATTCAAAAAACACAAACTTCCCTAATCAGAAACTCCCTTATCTAAGTACTTTAGACAGTCTTCCATTTTTCTCAAACATTCCTTTGAATCAAAGACATCCATCATATTAAAAAGGGTAAAATAGTTTCAGGGAATAGAAAGTCTAATACAAAAGCCAGGCTCTAACACTGATGCCAAAGGGTACAGAGGGCAGAGATTTAACTGACAGGGCCTAACGGTCCTGATTTCCAAAAGACCTTTATATAGGACTCTGAATCATGTGTTTAAAGATACAAAAAGGTTTCTGAATGCCTTACAAGTTAAAACAATATCCTGAGAAGTTCAAAGAATACTGAATGGTAATGTTATAAATAATAGCATCTGCTGATTAAATAAGACAGCAAAACACCCTCTTTACCTGGGACCAAAAGAAACACTTAAACTGCTTGCTAATTTGTGTGCAAGGAATTAATATAAGTAATAAAGTTTCACTTGAGATGCATACTAGTTTCCCCACTTCATCTCTGATTTATGTAAGTAATTTTATAACGCATTCAAACATTTCCATTGAGTAAGGATTAAATGACTTTAGGGAGAGCTTTACCATACAAGAAATAAATGATTGCTTCCCAAAAGGGATTTCAAGATCTGATACCAAAAATTCTTTCCTTATCTGGCTCAATGGCTCCCAGAATTCCATAATTAGAATTTTTTTTTTGAGACAGAGCCTCAAGCTGTCCCCCTGGGTAAAGTGCTGTGGCATCACAGCTCACAGCAACCTCCAACTCCTGGGCTCAAGCAAGTCTCCTGCCTCCGCCTCCCAAGTTGCTGGGACCACAGGCGCCCACCACAACACCTGGCTATTTTTTTTTTTCGGTTGCAGCCATCATTGTTGTTTGGCGGGCCTAGGCTGGATTCGAACCCGCCACCTTAGGTGTATATGGTTGGCGCCTTAGCCACTTGAGCCACAGGCACTGAGCCCATAATTAGAATTTTTAACTTTGGCTACTAGACTACGACCTCTATAAAAGTAAGGAAGATTTCTTAGTTGTTGAACAGAAAGCTGGTATCAAATGATGACTAAAAACAAAGCAGGCTGTTAATAAATTTTAATTGAAGGCACTGCTTCTTGGGTAAAAGGCAAACACTCTTAGTTTAAAAACATTATGTCACAAAACATATAGTCCTCATTACAGTCCTTAATTTGAATGTATTAATCACATCCTTTTCTGAGACCAGGTCACAAAAGAGGAAACTATGTATACTTGTAGGGACCTCCTATCTTCACAATTTTGCTTAGGGCTATCCCTGTCAGCCTACAGAAGCCTTGTGTTTAGATACACGTTGCCTCCTGAGGCCATTAAAGAGGTCAGCAGTTCCCGAGAAAGGCTTTCTCCAACATTTCATTATGGAATTGATGTTTGATAATTAAAAATATACCAAGTGTATTAGTCAACCACAATTTTAGAAGTTGAAATTTCATGTCTCAGCTGTTAGCTGTTCTTCTTCAGCACTCATTTATTTTCTAGAAACTAAGCTTTGTGAGTCTTCCTAGTCATAATCATCATAGTTTATGGCCACCCAAATCCTGGCTCAATCCACTGATGATAGAAAATCTGTTTGCTAGGAACAGTCAGAGTACTGGGCACAGATTAAAAGCTGATCTACAGAAGTAAAACTTCACAATACTGGGAGTGCAGTGGGGGTGAGGGATTCTAAAGCTGGCAAACCTCATACTTCATTATGTGTTCCCTAGTTATTGAGAGAAACAGACAATAGAAAACTTCTAAACTGATTCTTACGAAGTAACTATAAAGATGTCTGTCCATTTTATCTAGACAAGATAGCCATATTATTTTTGTTTCATTTTAAAACCTTATCCTGCCCTTTGACCCATTTGCCCCAATATTCTAAAATCAATGGCACATTTCTACATCTTCTGTACCCTCTAAATCTATCTAACCACCTTCATTCCCTTCATTCTCTAAAATCTTTTTCAAAAGTCAACACTGTCTGATTAAACAGACTTTTATTAACCCTGTCTACTTAAACTTCTCAGTAGTATTTCACTTCACTGACCATTTCCTCCTTATTAAAATCCTCCCAAGTCTTCTGAGAAACTATTAATCTTGGTTCTCTACCAGTCTCCCTCAATCAATCATTTATTAATGGGTCACTTGCAAGTCATTTCAAAGGCCTGGTATGAAGTCTAAATCAGTAATTTTTTTTAAAAGTGATTTACTTTCTAGTAAATAAAATTAAGCATATATAAGTCTTACCAAGTAATACCTAGAAGAGGCTGACTTAAAAGTCAGTTTATTTTAAAGAAATCAACACTCATTAATGTACTTGATGTTTTATGTAAAGATAACTTTCTCACAAATTATATTGAAATGGTTAAAAATCCCAAGTTAATTAAATATAATTCCTGAGTTTCTGCTAATTAAGCATTTTGTAAGGCCTTGTGTATGCCACACAGGCTGCACAAGGTGCCCAGCAGTTAGCACTCTGCTCTGTTGCAGCCCTCTAGGCTACAGTGAATTTCTGTGGCTTTGTTTATGCAGCATCCTTTTCACTGAGACACAGAGCAAAATTGAAAGCAATTATATTTCTAACATTGCTTATTTGAATACTTTAATCTTGTCTGAGAGTTACTATTTGCTACTAAAATTGTTATATTTAAATAGTTAGCAATCTCTCCAATCCATATATTCTTTCCAAAAAAAAAAATGGCTTTGCTTGCCTTCTTTAAGTAGTAAAAATTCACCGTCAAGATTTGTCTAGATTAAAGTAACCCCTGATTTCTTAAAATTTCACCATACTGCAGGAGAGTCACAACTTGACTGCACAATTACTCCATGGCTTTCATTCAAGTACATGCAGGGCTCCACGCCAGGCAGTGAGGACACCAAGATGAACAAGGTACCCGCTCAGCCTTCAGGGAGCTCAAAGCAAGGCAAACAAATATTCATATAGTATAGCTTCTCTTGTATTAATTATGTACCACAAATCATGACCTGATTAATCTTCACTGCTAATAAGGTACTATTATCATTCGTGATAAAGATAATACATTTCTAAATTAAGAAGTTTTAAAATATACTCCAAATCAGACAAATATATATACTGTCTTTTTGTTGGTCTATCTCCTGGATAGAACCACATGTCCTGCTTTTAACTAACAAAATCTTGTTTCTGAAGTTATAAGTTAAAGACAGCAGAGTCTTTATGCCAGATCTATAAACTTACAAGTTACAGAACACAAAATTGTTGAGTTGAGTCAGATAATTTCTGATTTGAGAGACTATAAATCACTAGTCTAATCTCTGAAGTCTTCTCCCTAGGCACTTTCTACCCATTTCGACCCAAAATACTAGAAAATAGTTACCGTTGTGGTTCAAAACTCAGTCCTGCCTTCAATACCTGTAAAAATTCTTTCACATTCACTATTAATTATACATAAAACTGTAGCTTTTCTCTCCTGTGTTAAACAAAGTTATAGTATTAGTTAGCAATTTTTCTTTTCCAAACTCAGTAGAGAGGGAGAATCAAAGAGAGTAATTACATATACATAGTTATAATAAATTATAAAATATCAACTATTGATCACGCAATTATTGAAACAATAGGAAATTAAGAGTCCCACAATTACAGTGACATGGAAAAGATTAGCATAAATGTACACATATTCACTAAGGTTTTTCTAAGTATTTATTATTTATTTATTTTAGAGATAGGCTCTCACTATGTTCCCTAGGCTGAAGTCCAGTGGCTATTCTCAGGCACAATCACTGCACAGATAGCACTGAATGGCCTCAAACTCCAGGACTCAAGCTATCCTCCAGCCCCAGCCTTCCGAGTACTGGGACTTAGACACGCACCACCGTGCCCAGCTCTCCTAATTATATATTGTTATTCTTCTGGCCCCACTTAAAATAGCTGAGATCATCTTGACCAAATAAACCATGAATTAAAAGCTAAAAAACATACGCTGTTTTGGGAGGGTTATACATTTAATCATTAAGAGATTAACACAAAAGTAAGCCAAGTGCCCAAAGGTTATAAACTTGGAAAAGGAGATTTAACTTACAACGATAATACTGAATGGAATGATTATTCCACCTAATAACGCATAAGGTATGGTGTCTTCTTTGTAAGGGTACTTGATGGATTCATCATTACAGAATACTCCTCGCTGGAAGGGGGTATGCCTTGAAGTAAGAATTGCAAAAGGCAATCCAGCTAGCAAAAGGGAATAAATGAAAATATCATTAAAAAATAACAAAACTAATTAATGGCAATAATTATCCCAGAGACTGTGTTTAAAAACGCATTTGCCATGAAAATAAAACAGCACACATAAAAAAAGGAAATGCAATGCATGCAACAGAAGTCAGAAAGATTACCATTTAGGGTAAAGCTGGGTTTTTTTCTATATGAAACAAAACTTCCATGTCCTCTATTAACCAATTTAACAAAGAGCACCTTCTCTTTGTTTCTGCCCAAGCACATTAAATGGATTTTAGAAAAATCTCTTCTCATGCTCTTGTTGTCATTTAATCATCAAGGTTTCAATAGGATTCCCAAACCAGTATGTCATGGCTTTGCTTCTACCCAGGGCAATACTCCTACACAAAAAACATTTTCACAAATTCCTAATTATTGAAAGGACTGCTGGCAGTACCTTGCCCTACCATACAATTTGTCATCTCTGCGTCCTTGCCTTGCTGTTTTCTCCTCCCAGAGGACCTGAGTATTAATCCCCAGAGAATTCCAAATTAAAAGGTCAAGGACAAGAGAAGAAATTTATAAAAGAGAATAAATAAAAGTAGCCAGTAAGGTAGAAACAAAAAAAGGAGAGTGCAGAAAAACCCAACTAATCTATCCCAAAGTCCTAGAACTAGCAAGTGTAGTGATGTCACAGGATATAAAGTCAACACACAAAAATCTATCATTTCTATGTACTAGCAATGAAAAATGGGAACCAAAATTAAAATCACAATACCATTTAATGTGACTTAAAAAACTGAAATAATTAGGTATAAGCATAACCAAAAATATGTAGGCTCTGTATGCTGAAAACCATAAGACCTGATTAAAAAAGAAATTAAAAACCTAAAATAAATGGAAACACATATCATCTTCATGAATTGGAATACTTAACAAGGTGAAGTTGTCAATTCATCCCAAATTGATCTATAGGTTTGCTGAAGTTGATATCAAGATTCCAGCAGGGATTTTTAATAAATATAAACATATTTATTTTAAAACTTAAGTGAAAAAGCAAAGAACTAGAATAGCTAAAACAATTTTGAAAATAAATACTAAAGTCAGTGTCACATTCCCTGAATATTTTTGCGAAAAACAATGCTATTTTATTTTTTTAACCACCTAATATATTTTATCCTCTTAAGCTACCTGATATATTTATCACCTGAAATATTATAGCTACAGAGGGAATGGTGTTAGTGGAAGCCTAGACACATACCAATGAAACAAGAGTAGAGTCCAGAAACACAGCCATGCAAATACAGCCAACCTTTTTTTTTTTTTAACAAAAAGGTACAAAAGTAACAAAATGGAGAAAGGAAAGTCAGAAGTATTGAAACAATTGGTCACCCACAGGCAAGAAGAAAAAAAAAAAAAAGCAACCTAAATCTCATATCTTATACCAGGCATCCTCAAACTACGGCCCGCGGGCCACATGCAGCCTGCCTAGGACATTTATCCGGCCCGCTGGGTGTTTTTGCCACCACTTCCTGTCCTGCTTAGCAGCCGACTCAACCCGGGGCCCTGCAGTCCGGCCCTCCAATGGTCTGAAGGACAGTGAACTGGCCCCCTGTTTAAGAAGTTTGAGGATCCCTGTCTTATACAATACTTAGTTTGTGGATCCTAAAACTGAGTATAAAACAGAAACTTTTAGAATAAAACACAGAAAAAATTCTTCAGAACTAAGAGTTATGCAAAGAATTATACACAACACCAAAAACATAATCCATATTCGGATTGTGTGTGACAACCCCACACTGTACCCCAGAAGTGCATTAATGTACATAGTTACCATTCAATAAAAAAAAAACATAATCCATAAAAGAAAAAACATTAATAAATTTGATTCATCAAAATTAAAAATCTTTGCTCTCAAAAGACCGATTTAAGAAAATGAAGGGCCAGGAGCAGTGGCTTACACTGTAATCAATCCTAGCACTTTGGGAGGCCAATGTGGGAGGATTGACTGAGGCCAAAAGTTTGAGACCAGCCTGTGCAAGAGCAAGACCTCATCTCTACAAAAAATAGAAAAATCAGCTGGGTGTGATAGCAAGAACCTGTAGTTCCAGCTATTGAGAGGCTAAGGCAGGAGGATCACTTGAGTCCAGGAATTGGAGGTTGCAGTGAGTTATGAGGATGCCATAACTCTGGGCAACACAGTAAGGCCCTGTCTTTTTTTTTTTTTAAAAAGAAGAAAACGCAAAGACAAGCTGCAGACTAGGTAAAAATACTTGCAAATCGCATGTGTTCAATAAGACTTTATGCCCAGAATACAGGAAGACCTCTCAAAACTCCACAGTCAAAATAACTGAAAAGTAGGAAGAAGAAGACCAAAGAAGACACCTAGATAGCAAATAAGTATATGAAAAGATGTTCAACATCTACAGCCATTTGAGAAAGTCAATTTAAAGGCCCAAGAAGATATCACTATACACCTGTTAGAATAGCTGAAATAAAAAAATACTGATAATGCCTGTGCTAGTGGAATGCAGAACAACTGAATCCCTTATACATCTCTGGTAATAATATAAATAGGATAGCCACTCTGGAAAACCGTTCGGCAGTTTCTTATAAACTCAAGACATTTAACAAAATACTCAGCAATCCAACTCCTTCTTATCTACCCTAGAAAAAAATGAAAACTTACCTTCACTCAAAAACCTGTAGACATGTGTTCATACAGCTTTACTTATCATAGCCAACATTGGGAACAACCAATGTATAAATAATCATTCACAAAATGAAATACCACTCAGCCGTAAAAGGAACGAACCAGTGATGCACAAGGCACACAAGATAGATCTCAAAGGAATCAGAGTTTAAAAAAAAAAAAAAAGGCCAATCTCAAAAAGACACATACTGTATGAATCCACTTGTATATTCTGGTTGAAATGACAAAATTATAGTAATGGAGAACAGATCAGTGACTGCCAAGGGTTAGGGGATAGAGAGGATACGACTATGATGGGAGACAGGAGAGAGTTTCTTTAGGGGTGAGAGAATCTTGACTGTGATAATGGTTCCATGAATCCACACATGTAATAAATGTTATAGAATTATACACACACAAAAAACTGTACATGTTAAAACTAGTGAAATCTGAGTAAGGTCTACAGTTTAGTTAATAGTACTGGTAATTTTACCAGTTATATAAGATATTATTATTGGAGGAAGCTGGGTAAAGAGTACATGGGAAATCTCTGAACTATTTTTAAATCTTCTATGTGAATATAAAATTATTTGAAAGTAAAACTTTTTTACTGCTGCTAGATACATCAGATAAGATGAAGATGGCTGATGCAGCAACTTAGTAACTGCTGGTGACTAACAATCATTTCCATGGAAGTGGTGATCAGAGAGTAGGATGCTCTCTGATTCAGATTACAGAAGAGTTTAAATTAGTAGAAATGGCAACAAGTGGAATATGACCATGGAAAGTGAACTGCTAAGACAGATGACAGGAACTCTGAAGTAGAAACGCTAGAGAACTGTGAATCTATCATTAAATTTGGAGAGGGAAAGGATCAACTTATTCCTGAAAGATTCGTAAGAAAGCTACTGAACTATATCAAGTACAATAAGCAACTGAACATTCTTCCAAAGTTGTTTAAAGGTTAAGAGAAAAGTTTACTGAAGCTCTAAATGAGTAGCAAAGACAGACAATGAAAATAAGGGAAAGAAATATGGGTGAAGCTTCATTCCTACTTAATAGATGAATAATTAGCAGTGCCTTTCTTTAAAGCATAATACCAAAGTGGTTTGCTATACTGAAAACTGAATCAGTGAGCTTTGTTTTTCTTAGAAATAAAGACAGACTTTAAGATCAATGTGGTATTTCCGTCAAAGAAACAAACCTTCTTTTCATGGCCTTTAAAAACTAAAAAGGTCCCTTTTCATCATTAGAGAAGTGACTTGTAGAAGGTCAAATGGAACAGTTAAGAAATAGTAAAATTCAAATTCAAACCTTCATTCTTAACAAGTCCTGATCAGGATTCAGAAATTCTTCCAGCAGATAGTCAACCTAGATGAACAAGCCCCACTGTATGCTTTGGTGAATGCTATCATACTAACCCAAGTTTCCTACTATTCTGCCCTAATCCAATGTTTACCACCTAGACTCACATTCATCATGCAAGTGATAAAACCAAATGAAAGAACTTACAGGATTTACTCACTTACATCAAAACAGACCCAATTAACACTAGAGAACACAGTGAGAAACTGCCATAAAGAATGTGAATACAGTAAGGCAGAGCTGGGGATAAAATCCCAACTTGGCCACTTAATAGCTATAAAAGACAAATACCTACCAACCTCATGGAGTTGTTATGATAGAAAAAAATCTATAATGTGTCTAGCACAGTGCTTCTTATATAACACTCAATAAATGACAGAACACAGCCGTCTGCTCACATGCATACATAAATTTTAAGCCAAACAAATATCATCCAAATTATACTTTCAAGGGTAAGTATACTTGTATACTTGAAAGTATACAAATTATACTTTCAACGGTAAGGGCAAAATTATATAGTAAACAACATGGGTGCCTTTCTGGCTGTTTTCTTTCTATCTCATTGCCCAGTGATTTTCTTATGAGGCCCCTTGGAATAGAGTTATTTTCCATGCTGGAGACAGGTAATTTGCTGCGAAATTTAAAGAAGGATATTCTCCCTCAAGTTATAAAGAAATTACTTTCATAGAAATTTCTTTTTTCCCTCTCAAATTTTGATAACTTCTAAAAAGATGCTTTTAGGTATATCAGAAGATTAAGAATCTTGAATGTATCTGTGTATTAAATACATTATGCTTCAACATTCTCATATGTTCTACTGAGAAAATCAGTGTATCACTAAACCATTCTTCCCACTCTTATTGCCCTTGCCAGTGACTTCCTGCCTATCGTTTCTGCCTAGACATAATAAAATCTACCCCACAACTGCCAAGACAACCATTGGCAAGTAAAATGATTT